ACCATAGATTAACTATAAAAACACGCTATGTTCAAAGCATCTCGTGATCAAACAGAGGTGGTGTTGGCAGATTTGAACCCTGAACTCTGAACCTGGTCCAGGGCAGGTTCGGTCACTTCCTGTCACTTCTCTTTAATCCAAACATCTATAAAAAGCAGCCGTATATATAAAAAAAAGCCACATTCAGATCTGTAGTGGATTAAAAACAGAACAACCATCAGGTTCTGTGGAGAGCGTATAATCATCAGAACCTCTGAGGAACCGCTCATTTCCTGGGTGTGACCCAACACACACACACACACACACACACACACACACACACACACACACACACACACACACACACACACACACACACACACACACACACACACACACACACACACACACACACACACACACACACACACACACACACTGCAGCTGAGTGGTGTTGTCAGCCAATCAGAGCACCATACACACCCTCTACCCCCCCTCCCCCACTTCAAAAGAGGAGCGAGGGTTTGAACTCTGTACCGCCTGTTTGTTTCACAGAAAAACCTCTTTAACGACCAGAAAGAACCAGAGAGGGGGGGGAGGGGGGGAGGGGGACGGGGACGGGAGCGTCACCTGCTCCCAATTCAGACTTTCTGCACTTCAAAGAGCGGAAAACAAAAAATCTTTACGCCACTCCCCTCAACAGGCCGAGAGAGAGTGAGTGAGTGAGTGAGTGAGTGAGTGAGTGAGTGAGTGAGTGAGTGAGTGAGTGAGTGAGTGAGTGAGTGAGTGAGTGAGTGTGTGTGTGTGTGTGTGTGTGTGTGTGTGTGTGTGTGTGTGTGTGTGTGTGTGTGTGTGTGTGTGTGTGTGTGTGTGTGTGTGTGTGTGTGTGGAGAAGACTGGAAAACACTTTTATGGATTACATTTCATCAGAGTCTGGTTATTTTTCTGTCCATTCATTGATATCTTATAATCATTTTAAGGCTAAAATAATGAGGAAATGGGATTAATGGGAATGTTTTTGCACATTCCCATTAATCCCATTAATCCCATTAATCCCATTAATCCCAGTACCATCAGTGTGTTGCTGCAGCTCCGTCACTTCATGAACAATAATAAAAATGCTGCCTGTCACCATGTGTGTATGGTTTGTGAACTACCTCTCTGAAAGGTCCCAATGTGTTCACTTTGATGGGCTGTCTTCTGAGTGGTTAAACATTACTAATGGTGTTCCTCAAGGTTCTGTTTTCGGTCCACTTTTATTCTCCATCTACATCAATAGTTTAGGTGAAAATGTCGATGGAGCAACCTTACATTTTTATGCGGATGACACCGTGATGTACTGTGCATGTCCCTCCATTAAGGAGGCTGGTGTTGAATTGCAAACTGCTTTTAACATTATTCAGACTCAGCTCTCTGAACTAAAGCTTCTTTTAAATGTTGATAAAACCAAGGTAATGCTCTTTTCAAAGCTAAAAAGACAAAAGACACCAGAGCCTGTTTTAGATATTTTAATTACGCAAGGAATAAAACTTGAAGTGGTTACCTGTTACAAATACCTTGGTATCTGGCTTGATGATTGTCTCACTTTTAAACGTCAGGTCAATAACCTGCTTAACAAACTGAGGGTTAGACTAGGTTTCTTCTACAGGAACAAGTCCTGTTTCTCGCTCGAGGCCAGAAAAAGGCTCTGTGACCTTTTGACCTGTGCTGGACTATGGTGATCTGATTTATATGAAGGCACCTGCCAATTGCCTGATCAAGTTAGATGCTGCGTATCACAGTGCTCTGAGACTTGTGACAAACTGTAAAGCATTAACCCATCACTGTACCCTGTATGCAAGGGCTGGTCTGCCTTCACTAACTGTACGGAGGCTCAGTCACTGGAACATGTTCATCTACAAAGCCATGTTAGGGAAACTTCCTTCCTCCATCTGCTCCCTGATCCCACGGTGAATTGTAAGTGGCTACTGCCTGAGATGCTGTGGTTTTATTAAATGTGCCAACTGCTAGGACTGTCTTAGGGAAGATAGCATTTAGATGCGCAGCTCCACTGTCCTGGAATAGTCTGCAATTGAAATGGAAACTGAGCAATCTGGTGCCACTAAATGTTTTTAAAGCTCGGTTGGATGCTACTCAATCGGAAGCTGTTGGTACCTGTGCATGTGGATAGTTATGTAAACTGTAATCCCTGTAATGAAGCTGTATGATGTCCTTGTTGTTGTTCTGTTTATGTTTTTATGTTTCATGTGGAACCTACTTGAGCAGGTCTCCCTTGAAAAAGAGAGCAATGATCTCAATGGGATACACCTGGATAAATAAAGGTTTGAAATGAAATGTGTGATTCACAGCCGACCACAGAGTCCTTCATTCAGTAAACAGAGTTATCACAATGATCTTTCCAAGGGTGTGTGTGTGTGTGTGTGTGTGTGTGTGTGTGTGTGTGTGTGTGTGAGTGAGTGTACCTGGTCGCAGGCTTCCTTGCAGGGGGAGAAGTCTGCAGCATGCTGGCAGCAGGAGGGAT